TTTCCAACTCTACTCACTCAGGATCACCGTCGACTTCTACACCCGCAACTTCACACGTTACACCTCACAGCCTGGTACCTAGCTGATTGAATGAGTTGGAAGCCCAGTGCTCTGCAGCTGTCAGAAATATTCTCATACACAGCAGGCGAACTTGTATGAGAACTACATATCTCACAAAGTGGTCCAGATTTAGGATCTGGTGCTCAACTCTACTCACTCAGGATCACCGTCGACTTCTACACCCGCAACTTCACACGTTACACCTCACAGCCTGGTACCTAGCTGATTGAATGAGTTGGAAGCCCAGTGCTCTGCAGCTGTCAGAAATATTCTCATACACAGCAGGCGAACTTGTATGAGAACTACATATCTCACAAAGTGGTCCAGATTTAGGATCTGGTGCTCTGACCGACATGGACCCTTCAGTCACCCCCATACATTCTATACTGCATTACATCTCGGATCTACAACAGACGGGCCTCACTCTGGCATCACTCAGAGTATATCTCGCGGCAATCTCAGCCTTCCACCAGCCCGCTGAGGGCTTTTCAATATTTGCGCATCCCCTTACAAAGAGATTTCTGAAAGGGTTAACAAATTTAAACCCACCATTGCGTACCCCACCGCCACTTTGAAATCTGGACTTGGTGTTGCGAACCCTTACTGCTCTTCCATTCGAGCCACTTGCCACGATACCTTTACAAATCCTCACTCAAAGTGTTTTTTCTGCTGGCAGTCACATCAGCATGCAGGATCAGCGAGTTGTCAGCATTGATGGCCGTACCTCCATACACGATCTTCCAAAGAGACTGTCATCCTCAGACACCACCCTGCCTTATACCTAAGGTCTGTTCTGACTTCCGTGTCAATGAACCCATAGTGTTACTAGCGTATTTTCCCAAGCCACACTCTTCACCTAAGGAAGCAGCTCTCCATACATTAGATGTGTTCAGGGCAATAGCCTTTTACATCGACCGTACCAAACCCTTTAGGAAATCTGACAGGCTCCTACTGTCCCTAGCACAACTCTCTAAGGGCGATCCAATTTCTGCTCAGAGGGTTGCTAACATTATTCTGAATTGTATATCTCACTGCTACACGATTCGGGGAATTCCTCTCCCTGCACGTTGTAGAGTACATTCTACAAGGGCAATAGCAGCTTCCACCATCTTTCTCAAAGGGGTTCCACTCGCAGACATTTGTAAATTGGCCACATGGGCATCCTGCCACACATTTGTGGACCATTATGCTATTCAACAAAGGTGGCTGTCGGATAAGTCCGTAACAGTTGCAGTCCTATCTTCAGCTAATCGATAGAGGTCTTGTATCCCATCTCCTCAGCACTAAGGAGGGGGGGGGGGGATACTGCTGTGCAGACACCTTCTGTGGAGCACCCACGGGGATTCCTTGAAGAAGAAAGCGAAGTTACTCACCTTGATGCAGTAACTGTTGTTCTTCGAGATGGTCCCCATGGGTGCTCCACTACCCGCCCTCCTCCCCACTTCGGAGTCTGTGTCCATTTCTTGTGTTATAGATACTGAGGTGGGTACTAGGAACTGGCTCAGACTGGACCAAGTAGCGTGAAAGGGCGCAAAAGCCACAAGATGCTCCCCGCGCATGCACGGTCCAGCCGGACTACTGCTGCGAAAAGTCTTCATCCTATGGCACTGGGGCAAGCCCAGCACCTTCTGTGGAGCACCGATGGGGACCATCTCGAAGAACGACTGTTACTGAACCAAGGTGAGTACCTTCACTTTCCACACAATATTATATGTGTGTGTTTGTAAAAGAAAATCCAGTTTTGTTCATTTTTCAGAAAACAGTAATTTAATTGAAACCTATAAAAGCCAAGGAAATCCATAGATAAGGTGTCTTTAACATTGTGTGATGCTCATTGACTTTCCAGAGGTCTCCAAACATACGTCACATATGTAGATCTTGAATCAAAACTAAAACTCATAGAACTATCTGCATTTTTACAGCTTGTTTTACTACTAAATTGGCACTAATTGCTTCTTGCAGTATGTAAGTGCTCTCCTCCCCAATTGCTCTCACTCTGGTGGAGCCTAGCCTTAGAGATGCATGTGAAGAGAAGCCTTGTAGATCTACTAGCCTGAGCTGAGAGACCATCTCCAAGAGCAGTGTGTAAAAGGATCTGAGAAAGAAGACACTAAAGTGCACATTAGCTGCCTTTTCAGCAGTGCTGGCTGGCTGTCACCCCTATGCTGTATTCTGTATTACCCTAGACACTGGGAAGTGGACAAATCTCAGTAAAGAGAGGTCAAGAGGAGCTATGGTGGGGAAAAAAGCTTGTTGGGAAGGAGATGATGGAAAGGAAATGCTTACTTAAGAGTAAAAGAGATGGAAAAGGAGAAAAATAATTTAAGGCAAGGGGGGAAATAAGCAGGAAGAGAAGGAAGAAAACAAAAAATGGAAAGGGAGAGCTAAGGAAGAAGTAAAGAAAAGGTAAGAAAAGTTAGAAAAATGTAATATGCCATTACATCTAATTGTATTGTCCTATAAACCCAAGCTGGGGGACTCTATACTGACTGCATCCCAGTCCTTAAATCAGAATTTCCTTGTTTTTGTAGCTGTTCTACATTATTGTGGAGTGAGGAGTAAGTGGGGTTGAGTTTGAGATTTATGTGGTTAAATGGACATATAAAAGAAAAATCAAAATATTTCTTAATGCAATCCTATTCAGGTAATAGCAATACATATGTATTATATAACCATTAACACCATAATGTAAATCACTTCAATTTTAGTCATACATATTTATTTATTTTTAGTTTTGAATTAATATTCTTAAAGCGTTATATGTTTTTACCATTTCTTTTTCGCAGGCAGCAATATGAACAATTGGCTTTTGACTCGTCGGATGTTTTTGGTCGATAGTTTAAGTGGACAAGAAAATGACTTAGGAAAACAGCCAAGAATAATTCGTATTGCTAGCAAAATAACCATCAGGTGAATGAATGCATAATGGAGATTGTACATACATGCGAGATAAAGTTAACCTTATGAAATGCACACTTACTGTTCTGCGAAGTCCACAGATTGTATCCCTGGAATAGAGGACTGGCTCCATGTATCCTTTGCTGTTTTTTTAATTATATAGAAGAAAGTGGGTGACATTTTGAGGGTGCGAGCGCTCTCTCTCAAAGTGAGAATGTGCAAAACTGAACTTGCAGATGCAAAAGTTACTCTGGTTCTTGTTCTTCATTTACGATTGAGATCAAGTTTCTAGAGTCTAAGTCCATTTTTCATCACACAGGCTATGCATAAAGTGAACTTAAAATGGTAAGGAGCTGGCCAGTGGAAAATTCTCCCCATGTAGGGCAAAGCAGATTTCAGGGGGTCTCAAGCTAACACATTGGCTTCTAGATAACTGAGATCGTTAGATCTAATGTTTTATTAAAGTGGGGGAGGAGGGGAGGGCAGGTGTAAAATGTGGCCACTACCACCTGCCCTTGGACCAGTGGGATCCTCAGGCAAGACTCCCTGTCTTCCGTGCCTCTGCATGCCACTCAAAGTTGCCAGCTGTAAGGGTCACGTGCTTTGCATGCTGCTGCCCGGCTTTGCATGCTGCCCCTGCTGCCAGCACAATGTCACAGCTCCCATTGGCCAGAAACCAATCAATGGAAGCTGCCTGGGCTGTGCTTGCAGCACAAGCAGCATGTACTGTTCGCCCCGTCAGGGGCTCATGGTACTCAGACAACACATGGCCCCTATTGCTACCTGCTTTGAGCAGCATGTGAGGGTGTGTACCCTCCCCAGGGAGTGTCTCACTTGCCATCAGTTTTGCTGTCTCCACCACTTTGGAATTCATGTTATTCCCTGGACTTGAGCATCCTTTTCTGGGCATGGCCTTTCAGCTGTGCCCCAATCTATCTCTTCTTTTCCATGGGAATCAGCAGTCCTTAGTTCCACCACTTGGTCAGTGGTCAACTGAAGTCCATCTCTAGCTCCTCACCTCAGGGGCACATTGCAGTCTAGATCAGCCACTCTCCTCATTGGCAAGTGGGGCGCAAAGTATGGGGAAACCCATACCCTCCTTTTACTCTGGGTCCTGACCAGTGCTCCTTCTAAGCTGGACAGCAGCACAGCTTCACAGGTGATTAATCAGCCCCGCCCAGTCAGAGGCTCAGGGCTCTCTGCATGGAGCTGATTGACTGGGTGGGACTGATTAATCACCTGTGAAGCTATGCTGCCATGCAACTTAGAGAGAACACTGATACTGACCCAAGGACCCTATAGCTGAAAGCCACTCACTGCCCCTTCTTCAGATCCTCTGCAGCCTCTTTTCCTTGGGCCATTTGCCACGTGTCGTGTGGTTCGATTTATTTTAGATCCAAGGGAAACTTAACCACTTCTTATTTATTGCAAGCTTTAAGCAGTTAACATAGTTGTTTAAGTTTTACAAGCCTTAAAAACAATTACTATACAATTTAAACCTTAAATACTATAAATTCTAAAGCAATTAATACAGCACAAAGCAATGCAAAAGCAGTTGTTAGAAGATCTATTATAATACAATAATAACGCCTAGTTCACTTACACTTCACCCATATGCTATCTACAATACCAGGCAGGAGGTTGTGGTTCTTTTGATTCCCACGTGTCAGAATGCTATGCACTAGGGTCGCTGGTGTGAAGGGCACCTGTGATGTTACTTCTAGTTATATCGAGCAGGTTCTGTGGGTCAATCCTGCTCATTCCCTCCCATCGATTCTTCTTACTAAGCCCATTTTATAGCAAAGCGAGACTTGGTCGTTCTAATAATATTTACCAATTGATTATGTATTGTGTAAGGTATAAAATACCCAATGCCCTATTTGGGATACATCCTGCTACTCAAAATGTTGCAAAGACTACGTGCGTAGTTGACAGTTCTATGGCTGTATCTATAATTTTTGTTTATCAGAAACAGAAGTACCAAGGTTGGTTGATTGTCATGTGTTCTTGACATGGCCTCACATACTATGCTTAATCTGCATTGTTATTCAAAACATTTACCTCTCATAGCTTCTCCCTCCCAAACCATGCCTGCTTGCTTACATGCACCGGACTTGAAACAGGCCTGGGTTTTGCTTTATAGGGATCTGCACGGTGGTCAAGGCAGGGCCATCCAGGCTCCCCTAATACTCTGTAGCCCTAGGACCTTATTTGCCCTTCCTCCAGAGGCTCACTTTGTCTGTAGTCAGCCAGAAGCACCCTTAGCTCTGCTAACCAGCTCTAGCCATGATATTCCTAGGCCAGTAGTGGGCAATAATTTTTGACGGGGATCCACACCAAGATTTTGGAAAGTGGTTGAGGGCTGCACTCTTCCATGATATTAATGGAGGAGATGTGGGGTCTGAGATGGAGGTTGGGTGCAAAGAGATCTGAGAGTAAGAGATTGGGGTGCAGGAGAGAGAATGGGAGGGAGTTTGGGTGAAGGAGGCGGCTGTGACCTAGTGCAGGGGTCTGGGATGTGACCTAGGGTAGGAGGGGATTGTGATCTGGGGCAGGAGATTGGGATGCCAGATCTGGGAGGGGGCATAGGTGCAAGGGGGCGAGGGAGAGGGTTTGGGTATGTTGATTGGGGGCAGAAAGTTAGGGAAGACTCTAGTCAGGAGACTTACCCATTAGCAGCGAAGCCTGCCTGCCTGCAGAGCTAAGGCTTTCAGAGCTTAAAACATTTGCCTGCCTGCATGGCCATGTGCTTGCATGAATAACTGAGCCCAGGAGATGGGGTGTGATGCTTTTTGGCTGCCTGCTATTCAAACAGGTAGGTCCCATTGGCCAGTTTTTGTATAGAAACTGGCCAATGGGATTGTGCTGGAGGCAGGGGAACTCCTGAAGCTTTCCCTTCTCCCTTCCAGTTTTGAAACAGTAACAGGGCCTAGCAGCCACTTTCCTGTGACTTCCTGCTGCCTCCATGGGCTGGGTCTGATGGCTTAGGCCTGTGGGCTATATTTTACCCAAGCCTGTCCTAGGCATTGCCCTTCTCCCTAACAGGCCAGGGAGAGATTTCTTCTTTGTTTTTCAGCAGTTTATATATGGCCCTGATTGGCAGTTGCAACAAGCCTCTTCCTCACTGGCTGTCTTGATATGCCCTCTTCTCATTAGTTGGAGTCTGTGCAGCTTCTCTGGGGGCTGCTGTAATTTCCTGTTACCTATGTGGAGCAGCTGCTCTACCACAGTTGCTTTTAACTACAACCTGTATATCATCTCTTAGGGTATGTCTACGCAGCAAAGTTATTTTGAAATAACAGACGTTATTTTGAAATAACTTTACCAGTGTCTACACAGCCAAACTGCTATTTCAAAATGAAATCGAAATAGCGGGGGGCTTATTTCGAAATTGGTAAACCTCATTCCACAAGGAATAACGCTAATTTTGAAATTGCTATTTCGAAATAAGCAGTGTGTAGACACTTATTTCAAAATAGGGGGCCTTCAGCCCTTCCCGGGTTGCCCTGGTGGCCACTCTGGGCACAACCAAGAAAACTCCTCTCCCTCTTCCCCTCCCCGGAACCTTTAAAGGAGTGGACTCTGGCCACGGTGCCTGTGCCAACTCCAAGCCTTCCAGCCCAGAGCCAACAGTTGCTGCACCTGACCCAGTGGCCCAAGCATGAGCCAGGAAGCCGGTGGCAGC